GGCGCAAAGCTACACAGAGAAACCCTGTCTCGAAAAAAAAAAAAAAAAAAAAAAAAAAAAGATTTGTGCTACAAAGTCTCTTTAAAAAAGAGAGACAAACAGGTTCTGAATATAGACTTATAGATGCTTTTCTTCAGGGCAAAGACATTTCAATCCAATCTATTCCTGGCTCTCTAGACAGAAAAGAATGTACATGCTTTTTAACCCAAATCAGTAGCCTTTTCTAGAACTCAAAAATATGAGTCTACTCCTGCTGTTTTACAGATACCTGTTATCTGCTTTTTCTACAGTGCGAGTTTCAATATTTTTCTCTCTCCTGGACTTAAGGCAACTCCCTTTCCTCAATTACTGAGACTATTGGTCTGTAAGCTTCAAATAAGTTCATAAATTTTAACTTTACTTTCTAGTTTATATCTATCTCAACAGGTTTCTACTTGGCTGACAGACACATCCAAGCATCATATGCTAACTACAGCCTACTCCAAATGATTATGGGCCGTGAACTTGTTAAAAGCTGATATGGACCAATCCAGCCAATATAAATGTCACCTCTTCAACTGGTCAATAAAGCAAATGCTTCTAGGTTTCCTCCTTGCCTTTTTCCAGAGTGCTGAAAACAATGTCAGCAGGAATTACAGAAATGAAAACATTGTCCTTGTTTTCCATCGTGAAATGTCAGATCAAAAGGGAGTTTCCTGTCATAGGGAACCTGAGACAAAATAATAACTAGTCCCCATTCTCATTTTCAAGTTCCTTCAGGATAACTGACTCTGTCAGCCATCATGGGGCTTTTGGCACTTCTGCTTCTGCTAATTATGTCATTGATGCTTTAACTAATTGATAATTCCTATTTGGGTACCACTAAACTGATGATGCTAGGATTGAAATATCAGTCTCTTAATCAAACCCATGACACACTTACAGATGGCAAAAACTGAATATGGAGGTGCACATTTTGCCATTGATAATGGGAAACCCCTTATATCCTGGCCCAATTAGTCTCCAAAATAATCCACTACCTTGATGATAAAGTCTTTTACAAAAAAGAAACATCTCCAAGATTCTGAATGGTATATTAATCAAGTGAAAAGTGAAAGGACCAAGCAGACACCATAACAGGCTGCTCAGTCTTCTCTCAGAGATCAGGCCTCAATTTTAGTTTTCTGAGACATGAGCAAAAAGTTTCTGGGAGGGCTATGAACAAAAGACAATTCTCCAGCAGGGACAGGGAGATAGGATGCATCATGTCAGTATGTACTAGGCCAGCCAGCCTCCATGGCAGCTCGAGGACAAAGCCTGGGCCACTGAGCCAGCTCCCAGAGTCAGTACATGCTAGGCCAGCCAGCCTCCATGGCAGCTCAAGGACAAAGTCTGGGACTTGTCCAGGGCTGCCTAAAAATGGATAGTTGTAACCACCTACTAACCATAGCCAATTAAAAGTTAGTAACATGATTGCTACTCAAATAAACCAATCCTGAGTCTGTTCCTATGCAGTCTATAGACCCCAAATCCCCCTTGCTTAAAATCCCTGCCCCATTGTTACTCAGGTTGTCCCCTGCTCTGCTGCTGTGTCAAAGAGCCAAGTTAACTCACAGTAAAAAAGACTCTGCTTTTACATTGGATTTGGACTCTCGGTGATCTTTGGGGGACTCTGGATATAACACCCTGCTACCTGGTAGAGGCAAAGACCAGCAGAGCTGCAGGGAGAAAACAGATACTATCTGTTTCAAACCTGTTCAGGTGTCTGAAGGTCAAGACACAGCAAGCAGCGGCTGCTTTCAGAAGATCAGGTTTAGAACCAACATGGTTGCTTATAAATGTCTACATATCGAGTTCTAGGGGATCTGATGCCCATTTCTTGTCTCTACAGGCACCAGGAAGATACTTGGTGTACAGACATATATGCAGGCAAAATACCCATACATATAATAAGTAAAATAAAATTTTTAAAGAAAAAAAAGCAACTTACTGCTTTCTCAAGGAGACTTGGGTGGGATCCTAAATTCTGTCTGTCACTGGTTCTCTATCTAGGGTGTCATCTTCCCAATAATAGTGTTGCACACCAGTGGTGTGATGACAATCAAGAAGCAAGAGAAACCCAAGCTGCTGGGCAGCACTCTTTAAGCTCAGATGAGAACAGGTACGTTTCCGGTGGTGTGACCATAGATATAAGAAACTTTCTTAACTAGATTACTGGAAGCAAAAAGAGCTATC